TAAATCTTTACAGAAGCAGAAAGCCTCATCTTTCTCCCATGGAGCAGCTGGTAGTTTCGAACTGCTGATCTTAAGGTTCACAGCCTGATTTGTAACCACTGCGCTACCACAGCTCCTTAGCAAAGTATCTAGAACATAAAAATATTGAGTCAACTCTGATTCGTGGCGGCCCCATGTATGTCAGAGTACAGCTGTGCTCCGTGGGGTTTTCAAGAGTTGATTTTTCAGCAGATTGCCAGGTCTGTATTTTGTGTGTGTGTGTTTCCTTTGGCGGACTCAAACCTCCCACCTTTTGCTTAGCAGTAAAGCGGCATATTAGTCATTCACACCACCCAGGAATTTAAAGGAAATACTTAAAAAACTACAAGAAAACACAGCAAGCATCATTGGAAAAGTGATTACAAGCTAATGCCCTGCTTGTAAGAGAGGGTGTCACTGGAAGCAAAGCAGGGTGTGGAACTGGGATGGCCGATTCTGTCCCCAGCTCTGCCATGACTGGGTATGAGATTCCTGGGTGTTTCAAGCCACCTCTTTGAGCCTCAGTTTCCTAAACTATAAACAGATCTTGGGGATTAGAAGACCTGGCCTCCTAGGGACTGCTCTGGCCGGGCCAGCAATCTGATCCCCTTGTCAGGTGGAGGACTCTGGCTGGGTTATGAAGTCAACGGCACTGCTAGGAAAGGGCTGCATTGTATATTCTCGATGGACTCATTGATAAAAATGCATGTGCAGTGTTGTGTACAGCAGTACAAATACTATATATTAAAGGGTTCACTTTTGAATGCTGTCTTTACTGGGGTCCCCATATAACAGACTAGACCTTCCCAGGGAAACACAAAGCCTGGCTGGCATCTCCAGGCTGCTGGGCACCCCTGCTCAAGTTCCTCAGGGGCCACCCTCCTTCCCCAAAATGAAAGTAGCTCCTCACCATCCAGAGTCTAGGGACCTAGGTTTTAGTCTCCATCCGCAGCCATGTCCTCTGACCCTGTCACCCTCTGCTCCAGCCATAGCTCCAGGGACCTTTGTAAATTCTTCCCGGGATCAGCTGGACTCTGCTTCTTCCCAGGCCCAGGTTTATACCCTTTTCTCTGTCCCTGGGGTCCCCCCACACTCCACACTGCCGCACGGTGTCTGGGGATGGCTGCTTTCTCTTCTGCCCCTACTCTAGGCTGACAGTGTCTCCATGCAGGGATTGCTCCACCAGGAGACCTGCTAAGCTGGTGAAGGATGAGTAGGGGACTCGTGGGGGTGAGGTGGTGCTGAGGCTAGGTCAGCAGTGAGGAGTCCCGCCAAGACTTGCTCTCCTGGGCAGTCAAGGATGAGGGTGGGTAGGTCTTACCTCGACACTCCTGAGTGGCCCCTGAGGTGACCAGCGTGTAGCCGGGGTAACAGAAACAGGAGTAGGAGCCCACACGGTTGACACAGCGCCCTCTTCCTGTGCAGGGATCCCTCAGACACTCATTGTCATCTGAGGCAGAGGAGAGGAAAGAGGTGGTCAGGCAGGCCCACTGTGCCTTCCCTTGGGTACCGGTCAGCGTCCCTCTCCTGCTATGGGGTTGGGCAGGGGACATAGAGCAGGGAAGGAACAACAGAGGCCGGTCAAAAAAAGTCTCCAGAACTGGGAGCGCTGCAGGCAACCCATTAGCTCTAGTCTGCACTGAGTGCGTCTCCTGCCTGCTCCCCAAGTCCTCTTCTGGGGATTCTGCCATCACCTCCGCTCTCCTCCAAGGCCTCAGCAGATGTCCATTTCCATCAGATCTCCCTAGCATAAAAATACCAGAAAAAGGGAGACCTATCGTGGCCCCCAACCTCTCTCCCAGGGACGACCTTGGTGAGGTGAGGCATGTACAACGAGGGCTGACCTTGGTCCACTCTATGGGCAGCAAGGTGGACAAGATGAGGACACTGATGTGGGTCCCCACTCTTCCATGAGATGCAGTTACAGAGACTGGTCTTTTCCCTAAGGTCATGGTCACCACGTTCCTCCTAAACCCATCAACCCACACGGCACTGCTTGGAACGCCTGCTACCTGCACTCATGACTCCGCTCTACCCCAGTCACTAAGGATGCCAGGGTGAGTACCGGTACAGTAGGCCTGGCTGGGGTGGAGCTGGTAGCCAGGGTTACAGACACATCTGTATCCATCTGGGAGGTTCACACAGGTTCCTGGGCCACAGATGTTGGTGGTTCCGGTGGCGGCACAGCTATCAATGTCTGTGAGAGAGCAGAGTTGTGGAAGGTGGAGAAAGGGCAAAGGTAGTGGGGAGGGCGAAGAGAGTGGGGCAGTAGGCACCAGAGGACCAGTAGAACTCTCATCCTACCCTTGGCCAGGCCCTCCCACATCCATGTATAGCATGGCTTCCTGGAAGATCCCAGGGCCCCCGAGGCCAACCAGGATGGAGCTCAAATAGTATACCTCCCTGACCTAGATCCACAAAGGGTATCCAACTTGATCTCCACTGCCCTCACCCTCCCTGCCCAGTGCGACCCTCCCTGGCAATACCTGCCCATTTTCTTCTAGACAGACAGGTCTGGTGAGTAGGATGTTTGGGGGAGGCCGCTAGGGGTGAGAGGAAGGTGTGCCGGGAACTGAATGCTGCTCTGAACCTTGCTTCTGAGCAATGGGGTCATGGGAGGTGTGGGTGTGATCAGAAAGGCCTCTCAGGCAGCAAGATGGCGGACGGACTGAGGTAGGGAGGTACAGGCAGTCCCTAGAAACCTACTGAAATCATTTAGACAAGAGCCGTTTTGGGTGTTGCCAGTGAAACGTGGGCGGTGAGAATTGTGAATTGAGAAACATTTGGAGGTGGACTCAATAGGACTCAGGGCTGAGACAGCACAGAGGGCAGAAACTCTAGCTTTGGGGACTGGATTCCCAATAGTAGAAGAATTTCTGGGACTTGGAACGTGCTGAATGAATGAATGATACTGTCAGTCTCAGTGCCCACTGTGGTCTTAGCTGAAGCCCACATACCCAGGGCTCCCCATGTCCCCACAGCACTCAGCTAACCCTGAAGGCCCAGTGAATGGCCTGGGCAGGGGGCTGTGGTGGGGCGCAGCAATATCTGCTAAATTCGGCTAAACTGAATCTGCAAGCTGGCCTATTTACAAGGCCATCCTGTCCCCTGACCTGGTCCCACATTAGTGTCAGCTTTGAGGCTCATGAGGACCCCTGGGAAATGTTCTAAACACCTGCTCAGAGGGATGAGGTTGAGGGTGGCAGGTGAGACAAACACAAGTTGGGCAAAAGGCTGCTGGTAGTGGTGTTGGGGGATTCTGTCAGAGTGACCGCTAAGTCTGGGCCCTACCCTTTGCCCCTTGCTCTGGCCTCTGCTGCTGCCTCCAGGCCCCTTTCCTGTCTGAGCCCCTTAGCCCAGACGTCTTGCTTCCTGAGCAGCGAAGGGAAGCAGACTGTCTGGAGCAGTGCTTTGAGCCCCGTGGAGAGGGGTTCTGGGAGAGGTGGGGGGACACTGGTTCAGGCCCGGAAAAGCCAGACCTTGTCTCCCGACCACCCACTACATCCCCCACCCCTGGTACTTTCCCACAAACTGCAGGGTCTCTCCCTTTGCTGGAGGAAAAGCAGACACCCTCCAGGCTGGCTTGTGAAATTAAGAGAGCAGTGAGCCCCTGGAGAGGGCAGGCATGAGGACAGCTACACCAGGGCATGTGGCACACATGTGACAGGGAGCAGCAGTAGCAACACTGGCCTGCTGTTTTGCACCAAGTCCCCAAACAATGAGCCTTTGAGGAGGGCACATTCCAGAGCCAGGTGGATTTGCCAGGGATCTCCCCAACCCCACCCCATCCTTGTAGTCCACCAGAGGGAGGAGGACGCAGGCTCTCAGTGGCTGAACAACCTTTTAAAACAGAACCTTGAAAATTGGCCCTCCCAGGGGGCCGCCCACTGCCAGCACTCGGCTGCCTCAAGGTAGACAGTCTGGACCAGCCTGGCTTGGAGTCCCAGCTCCACAAGCGCTCCTTCCTTAAGAGGCACCCCTGCAGGGAGGGGGGGTTCCTGGAGTAAGACACGTCCCCCACAGAGCCTCTTCTCTTTCCCCTCTCGGGGCCTGAGCAGTCTCCAGACAAGAGGCCTGCCTTCACTCAGGGCACCTGTGCACTTTGCACTCTGTAGGATGAGGTCCAGACTGGAGTTTGTTAGAGGAGAACTCTAGAGAACTCCACTCCTGCCCCTGCTCTCAAGTCAGCCCCGGGCAGCCAGACTGTGGGGTGGGATGTCAAGAGCCCTCAGAGGGCAGGCTATAGGTACCTGGGGGGCCCAGGGCCACCAGTATGTCAGTGGGGAAGGTCACTTGCTCTCTCTCCCAGGTCTCTGGAATCACCTGTCCAGGTAGTGGTGGTGTGGGTCTTGCCACAGCATCTGCAGAAGGGGCAGGGGAGCAGTGGGCCAGGTGTTCCTTCCAGATGGTCTTTCCCTCCTCCCTGCGCAGGGCACCCATCTGCCTTCTGGTCTCCTGAAACTTGACCCTGCCACACACGCAGTCAGAGAATGTGACACTCTCACGGGCCTCTGAGTCATCGAGACTCACCCCACTTCACACTGAGGCTCACAGAAACTGCAGTTTTGTCCCAGTCCCAGGGCTTATGCACAGGTCTCTGACTCCCACTTCAACATACTTTTCCTTCTGCTTGCAAAGCACTCTTTAATAGAGTTCTGCCACAAACATCGCTGTCTTATTTGCCCTAAGGGGCAGCAGGTAGGGATGTGTGCCTCATTTAATAGGTAGAGAAACTGAAGCCCAGCCTGCTGACTCCCAGCACTGTGCCCTGCAGATCCCCAGCAGCTTTGCAGAGGTACGACAGGGCCACTGGGGGAAAGCGATCCCGGCATACAGCCACCTTCTGTGTCCTCTTTGGTCTGACTTATGTGCTGAGCAGCAATATGACATTCAGAAAGAGTGTGGTAACAAGAAATGAATCACACAGCATCCCGGTGCCTCTCTCTGAGTTCTGTATGTGAGTTCCCAAAAGAACTCATCTGATTTGAGCACCATGGATCACCACAGGCTAAGGATTTTTCTTCCATCCCTTCTCTTTCCCCGGGGAGCCTTCAGGAAGAAGGACTTACCTGGGAACCAGATAGGTGCATGGGTGACACTGGTTGTGACCTGCACAGAAACAGGAGCAGGTCAGCCTTGGCTTCTATGTCACCCCCTAACATGGTTCCTCCCATCACACTCACCCATCTCCTGGCTTTCTTCTAATTCTCCCATTCACTCCAGGTGTTGATGATTTCTTACAAAGTGCCAGGCATTCTGCTAGACCACTGACTTATTTATCTTCTCAACTATATCCTAAGATGTAGCTAGTAGGGCAGTGATGCTCCCTGGGTGTTATAATGACTGCATGCGTGTGCGGGCATACGATGGAAGACCAGTAAGTGTAGCCTGCTATGATCCCCACATCTCAGATAAAGGTTAACTAGCCAACTGTGGTGAAGCTGGGACCCAGCGCTACGCCTGGCGCCCTCACCATAGCCCAGGGACAGGGAAATGGGAAGAGAAGAGTGGGCGATGTTGGAAGAGGACTGGAGTGGGCTGAGGTCCATGAGGATGCAGAATTAGCTTTGGACTAAAAGAACAATGTGTGGGGCTCCAGGAAGAGAAAAGCTCATTGGAGAAGCAGTATTTGGAGACACTCAGGTATGTGGGTGGAGTGGGCAGGGGAAGAGGGGCTGACAGACTTTCCAGGGAAGATTTACTCTTTGGAATGTTCTTCTAGAAGAATACCCAGCTCTTTACTGGGGAGTCTTGGACACTCAGTGACGTGCTTTGAGACTATTCATAGCTGCGCCTCTGTGTCCCCATAAGTCCTGACAGAGAAGACCTTGAAGCTTAAGCAAAACGGACTCAGAAAATGCTGAATCTGGAATGAGTCTGAAACCGGCTCTAAATTCATCTGCAGAGCTTAAAGCGTGCCGTGACGGCCAGGATTAACAGGTCATGCTCAGGTTTCCTTTCCGACGGAGCCCAGGCCAGCCCCGCTGCAGAGGAGATTAGACGGAGTAGACGTGCCATACACAGGAGCGGCTGCTATTTCTAATTTGGGATGAAACTGGGTCTTTGAATCAATCCTCCCATTTCATCATCTCTCCAAGTAACATCTCACATAGACTCCATCTTTCTTCCTTTCTTCCTTCAGGAGGCACTGCCCTGGGGCCTCAGAGGCTACTTGGTCCCCATCCTCTGCCACCCTTGCCCAGCTCCCTGGTAGGAGGATTCACTCACCTGGCTAGTCTGAGCATCACCTGAGGAGGGAAAGGTGAGAGCCGGGACTCAGAGAGGAGGGCCTGGCTGCCCTCCCTCTCCTGCCCATGGCCTGGGCCGGCTCAGAGACCCCACAGGGCCAGTGGCAGGGAAAGCTTGGATTCTCTACCCTGTGACAGGCATTTCCCCCCCCCCCCCAACACCCTGTGCCAGTCCATCCCATCCACACTAGCTGTGATCCAGCTCCATACTCTGCTACCTCCTCCTCCCAAGTCCCACAACCACACATGGTCAATCAGCACCTGAGCACCAGTCCTAGGGAGAAGTGCTCCTGGCCTGGCCAGTGTCCAGTTCCCATGATGCCTGGGGCTCCTGTCTATCTGCACTGGATTCCTGGAACTGATGCTTCAAGGTCATAGGCCACCTGGTCCTAATACATTCCCGGCCACCTGAATGCCACTGCTACCAGTAACCCGGCTGTGCCTTTCTGTGTGTTTCCAAGGCGCCTGCCAGGGGAGCCTCAAGGCCAGGCTCTTTCCAACCCCATGTCTGCTGGATTCTAGGTAGGGGCACTGGAGCTGGTGCCCTATGGCCAGGGAAGGTCATCTAGAACACACAGTCTCCCCAGGATACACCTGCCAGCTCACTAGGCCTTGCAGTGAGGGAGCAGGGGCAGGAGAGGCTGGTAAGAGCTGCTATTAGCCTCTCCCACCTCCAAAATCAACTTCCTGGGATGTGGGCACCCCTTGAGCCCAAATGGGAAGGCCAGGTCATAAGAGAGGGTTCCCAGCTTGGGTGCTGCTACTCCAAGCTCTCTTTCCTAATGTCCCAGTTAAACCAGAACACATACCCAAGAGAACAGGAAAAGCAGTCAGTGAGTCTTTGGAATGCTATAGCCTTGGTGGTGGTGGTGGTGTGTCGTGGAGTCAGTTCCAACTCGCAGTGACCCTTTATAGAGGCTGTAAATCTTTACAGAAGCAGAAAGCCTCATTTTTCTCCTGCAGAGCGGCCAGTAGATTTGAACACCTGACCTTACGATTTGCAGCCCAACTCATTACCCACCATGCTACCAGGGCTCGCTCCTTGTTGTAGCCTTAGGGGAAGGGGAGTTCCTCGGGCATCCCACTTCAGCCCACATACCCTTGTCAGGGATAGTCCCGGCCTCTAGCCAGGTGCCAGTGGCCGCCCGGAGTGGCAGCCTCTCCACTGGCCCAGGCAGGGTCCGATTGTTCTTTTGCCCTTGCTCCCTGGAGGGCCTGGCCAGTTCCTCCTCCTCAGCTTTCCTCATGGACAGGCGGATGTCTGAGCTTGAGTAGGTGTAGCCATGGCCCGCCGGGCAGATCTCTCTGAAGGCCTCTGCAAAGTCAGTAGTCAGAGAAGCTGAGAAGTGTCATTCGGGAAGGAAACCAGGGCCCTCCCTTCCTCCCTTCCTCTGGGGACAGGTAGTTGAGGCAGTAAGAATCGGGACCCAGATTGGGATGAGGGGTTGAGCAGAGAGGGAAAACTAGGGGTCCTCTGGCTTGAGAGAGGCCCACCCAGGCTGGGGGAAATGGCCATTGGCTTTGGTGGCCACACTGGGAGGAGGTAGAGTGTTACCTGTGCCAGGCAGGGGGCAAGTCTCACATTCAGTGCCCCATGCTTTGCCTACACGGCTGCAGCAGCATATCTGCTTGGTGATCCGCTGGGCCAAAGGCAGGGTGCAGGTGTTTGGCCCTACCGACCGGTAGCACAGCCCCTGCCGCATGGAGACGGCCTTGTCCGCTGCAAGACACAGCAAGTGAGGGTGGGCAGGTGGCATAAGCAGGGAGGGTTGTGGATGGAGGTGTGGCTGTGGGCACCTAGGGAATGGCAGGGTCCACTCCTCAATTTGGGACTCCGAGAATGCTTACAAGATTTTTTGAGGACTAGCGGACTCCTGGTGGGTTAAGTGCTGGATTGCTAACCCGCCAGCCACTCTTTAGAAACCCTACAGAGGGTCACTGTGACTTGGAACTGGCCGACAGCACTTCACAGCAAGAGCGGCAGGGGACAACCTGAGCACCTTCTCCTGCTCTTGTTTCTGAGAGCAGATGCTAACTAACCATGCTTGCCTGATAGAGGAATCTTAGGTGAGGTGGACGGTCTCTGGCCAGCACAGTTTGCACTCAGCTACTAATTGAGAGGTTGGTGCTTCAAACCCACCCAGTGACACTGCAGAAGAAATATCTGGCAATCTACTTCCCTAAATATTGTTGTTGTTGTTAAGATTATGGGCCAAGAAAGTCCTATGGAGGAGTTCTACTCTGTAGCCTGTGGGGTCAACATGATTCAGAACTGTTTGGTCTTTTTTGTGGGGGTTTCAGTGAAGTAGGATGCATCCCCAGAGTGGTTTCCTGAGACAGCACTCTTCTGTTCTTCAGCCCCCTCCCGCCCTGGGGGTCTCCTCCTAAGGCTCTCAAGGTCTCCTCTTAAAAGAGTCACTGGCTCCAGTCTCATCTCCCCCTTCATGTGGGCACTCTCTCTGGAGTCTTCCCAGAGCCAGGTCCCCCACAGTTGGCCAGCTGAGGATTGGCTGGCCAAAGGGGACTCTGCTGAGCTGTGGGGACAACCTGTTTCAGTCCAGGGCTGGGTTTCTTTCAGCTCTGTTCCTGCTCCTGTCCTAGGAAAGTCCCTTCTGGGCCACAGTGTCCCATCTGCTTCAGGAACAGGGGTGTGGAGGGGAAGCAAGCGAGTGTTAGCCTGGGTATCACTGGGAACAGAGCTGTGTGGAGTGCATGCATCACACACACAGATAAGATGCTAATACTCAGAGGACCCTGAGACCATCAAGGGAGAAGAACGGGAACGGAGTATGGGACCCGACCCAGAGAAGCAGCGACACCAGAGATGGAGGCAGTGATGATGACATGGAGAAACCGAGCAGCTGAGGATTCTAGACTCATGGAGGAAAAGGGGATGTGTGCTGGTGGCTGGGGGGTGGGGGGGTGGGAGAGCAGGGTTGTATATTGTATATTCTTGAGTGTTTGGGTGCACATCCCACCCCCCAAAAAAACAGAGGGGATAGAAGCAAATACTGTTGAATGCATGCAGGGGATTGTAATCATTGCAATGAAATGAACTGATGTTCCCCATATAAACTACCACTCAATTCACAATACAAACTTTTAAAAAAATAACAAAAAAAGATGCTAATACTCATTGTCAGTACAGGCTGTTCGTGACCAGTATGTGTCTGTAGATCCACTCAGAACCACAGCATTATGGAAGGGCCAGGGCCAGGGCCAGCCAGCAGCACCAGAGAGTAAGGACAGACCCTGTGTTTTCACTTTTAAGAGAGGCCTGCAGCCAAGTGACCCGGCCGCTAAACTCTGGACAGAAAAGGCAGCAATAGCAAACCCAAAACTCACTGCCATTGAGTCGAGTCTGGGTGGGCCTCTCTCTCATAGTGACCCTGTGTAGGATTTCCAAGGCTGTAAGTCTTTATTGGAGCAGGTAGCCTCATCTTTTTCCCAAGGAGCGGCTGGTGGGCTTGAACTCCTGACCTTGTGATTACAGCCTAATGCTTAACCTACAGTGCCACCAGGACTCCTTAGAGACAACACAGACACTCCCAAAGGAAACAAGACAGCACATGAAACAGAAATTAAACTCACGGCCACAGAGTCGATTCTGACTCATAGGGACCCTGTAAAGAATTTCTGAGATTATAAATCTTTACAGGAGCAGACAACTTCATCTTTCTCCTGAGGAGCGACTGGTGGATTTGAACCACTAACTGTGCAGTTAGCAGCCCATATGAATTGCAAACTGCAAAGCCCCAGAAGAAATACCTAAAGTCAGTGAAGCAGTTACCATGTCCAGCAGGAGGTGCAGATCAAAGTAGCAGACACCCCTGGGCAGGGAGTGATGGGGACAATGACAGTTCAAGGTCGCATCCTGCCTCTCAGCAACCCCTGCCTCCCAGCCCCAGCAACACTCACACACACAGCGGCTCCGCGAAGGGTCCAGCATGAGGCCAGGCCTGCACGTGCAGAGGTAGCTGCCCCTGGTGTTCACACACTCTGCGTCTTTGCAGAGGCCCAAGATCACGCACTCATTGATATCTGCAAGATGAAAGAATGCTCCAGCGAGCACCCACCAAGGCCTGACCCAGGGGAAGGGTTGGGGCAGGGATCTTCACATCCTTTCCTCAAATAAAACAACAGTAAAAGAGATGGCATTTGTTAAGTACCACCTTACTCTTGGTGCTATAGTATCCTCACTTGTAAAATGGGGATAATAGCAGTACCTTCTAGGGAGACTTGTTTTAAGGATAAAATCAGATACAGTATCACACAGCCCTCCAGAGGCATCTGGCTGATGTTCTGGGTGGGAGTGAGTAGAGACAGGGGAGAGAGAAGAGTCTCAGCTCCCAAGCCCTTCCCTGGTTCCTTCCATCATTCTCAAACAAGGGACCCAGCGGAGCTTCTCCAAAGGCAGTGCATGCCTGCTTGGGTGAGACTGGTGCCCCTGCATCATCAGGCAGGTCTTGGTCTTCACTTGGTCCAGCCCTGCCCCAGCTGGTCCTTACCTTGGCAGTGAGTGAGGTTCAGTCTCTTGTATCCCTGGGGACATTCTACCTGGCCATTTTCAATCACTGGGGAGGCTGAAAAGGGAAGACAGCAACACGTCTCATTGGAGGGCCTTGGGCTCCTATGTTACCCTTGGTGAGAAGTAAGATGCCTTCCTCCAGATCCCCAGCCCACTAAGCAACTATGAATCCCAGCCCTGTACCATCGCCTTAGACAGTTGTCCCTCCTTGGTTATAATCCCTTCCTTTGCTCCCAGAACTCTCCTTTTAGCCTATGACTTCTGCTAAAACTTCTTACTAACTACGTAGTTGTTGTTAAGTTCCGTTGAGTCAGTTCTGACTCATAGCGACCCTGTATAGGGTTTCCGAGGAATGGCTGGTGGGTTTGAATTGCTGACCTTAGGGTTGCAGTGCCACGCCAGGACTTACTAACTATGTTGCTGTTGTTAAGTGCCATCGAATTGTTTCCAACTCAAAGCGACCCTACAGGGTTTCCGAGGAGCAGTTTGTGGGTTTGAACTGCTGATCTTGTGGTTCACGGTCTAGTGCTGATCCTACTGTGCCACACTTGGATATACTGTTGTGGATAGGTGTTGTTAGTCAGCTATGACACACAGCTATCTTATGTATAAAAGATTGAAATGTCTGGTGCTGCCATCCTCACAGATACTACTACTATGTAACAGCCACTATATGTCATTATATGTATAATGTATATACAGTTCTAGTATTATATAAAGTATACATTATACTGCATTCATATTATGCTATATAAAGCAAAAAGTTCATGGAAAATAGAATGAAAAGATAATGGATTTTTTCCATGAATATTCTGAAGCTCCCTGATATAACATGTGATTCTATGTGTTCTTAAATTTCTTAGTACTCTTCATTTTTAAATAATTCTAGATTTACAGGACATTGCATAAAGAGGACAGAGAAGTCCCATCACCCAGTCTCCCCTAAGGGTAACATTTTATATAATGATAATTTTATTGTTTTTTTAAACATCTGGACAGCATCAGTTACAAGTGTGGTTCTAAGTTCCTTTCATTTTGATACTTGGTTTGAACGGCTGGCAGAGTGAACCAAGTAGCCTAGGTCAAGATGGAAGAGCTTCGTTGTTGACTGCACTTAAAAAACTAGGACATTCAATTTTCACTCCCATCTGCCAATTGCGCTTTTGTTGAAATTTGACTAGTAAATTTCCATCTTCCCTGATGGTCTTACAAATCCATCAGTGAACTGCAATTTTATTGTTTTGACAAATGGATTCAAGTCCACAGAAGAGCTGCATTTGGGAGAGATTTAAATAAGATGGAAAATTCCATTTTTCAAGTCTTTCAAATGTGTAAATGGATATGGTTTACAGCAACCAAATCACATTGCTCTGGAACTGGTTTCCAAACATCCTTTTTCAAAAGACTCCTTCCATAGTAGGGCCTCTTGAAAAGCATTCCTGCTTGAAGTCTGTAGCATACAAAACTAGGGACATGTCTGACAACAAGAAAATGCTTCTCAGCATTTTGGTGCTGACACATTTGGTTTGATTTCACATCTTCACTTACTTGGCAAAAAAAAAAAAAAAAAAGTGTGTTACTTTTTTCTTTTTAACAATTGACATTAAGAACAGAGAAAACATATTTCTTACTTTGGAGAGGGAGAGAGTGTGTCAGCTCTTTGGAAAAGCAATGACAATTCCAGTTGCCATCAAGTGGATACCACTTATGGTGACCTCATATGTGCCAGGATCGAACTGAGCTCCGTTAAGATTTTCAATAACTGTTTTTTCAGAAGTAGATACCTGACGCTTTCTTCCAGGGCAACTTGGGGTAGACTCTTAACATCCAACCTTTCAGTTAACAGCCAAAAACATTAATCCTTTTCATCACCTAGGAACATCTTGAAAAGCTCTAGCAGGTAGTTCGGTTCTGACAGCTAATTGTCATCATAGAGAGATGGCAAATTCAAAACACCTGTCTTTTAAAAAATAAATAAATAACAAAAACCTAAAACAGCGTGACTCAAAATCTTTACATTTCATAATTCTTTGGCCAAGAAATAATAATTCTCAAGGGCATGAGAGATGCTAACAGACATTCTTTAGTCTATACAAAATGCCATGAAGATAGCATTATATTTTAAGGGTCTTGTTTTACAAAGTTAAACAAGTAATTTGTCTTCTTACTTCTACTTCTTTCTGGCACTAGCTGGTGTCTATGAATGTTACTCGGTTGTCTTATTCCAACTCCTTTTTTAAAAACTTTTTATTGTGAATTGGGTGAAGGTCCAATTCCTTTTTATTCCAATCATAGCAGTAGCAGTTATATTTATAGTTATTTCATAAAATTGATTTTTATTCAAGAAGTCATTCACTATTGAGAAGATGTGTTTGTTCTCTGGTTTCTTTTTCTTTGTTATTGTTTTCAGGTGCCATCGAGTCAATTCTGACTCACAGTGATCCCATGGGATGAAGCAGAACTGCCTCATAGGGGTTTCTAGGTTGTTATCTTCAGAGACCACACTATTTGTCTGTCACTTTGTCATACTGTGATACTGGAAGCTATGCCACCAGTATTTTAAGCACCAGAAGATTCACCCACAGTAAACAGGTTTCAGCAGAGCTTCCAGACTAAGACAGACGAAGAAGAAGGCAAGGCAGACCGCTTCTGAAAGGATGGCCACTGAAAACCTTATGAATAGCAGTAGGACATTGTCAGATATAGTGCCAGAAAATGAGCCCCTCAGGTTGGAAGGCACTCAAACACAACTGGGTA